TCCTGTTGAAGCGTTGTGACAACGTTGTTCCACTAATACCGTGGACAGTCCTGTTGAAGTTTTATGACAACGTTGTTCCACTAATACCGTGGACAGTCCTGTTGAAGTTTTATGACAACGTTGTTCCACTAATACCGTGGACAGTCCTGTTGAAGCGTTATGACAACGTTGTTCCACAATACTGTGGACTGTTCTGTTGAAGTTTTATGACAACGTTGTTCCACTAACACTGTGGACTGTCCTGTTGAAGCTTTATGACAACGTTGTTCCACTAACAGTAATGACAATGGATGCTAAAAGCTGGAACTTCGTTGTTTTAGGTATTTTTACAGATTTTGAGATAAGCGTTTACATTCCATTGTAAGATTCTTCCCATCCGATCAAGTTTGATGAAGTTCTATAGAAATTAGAAGATTCCTTCTATCGCTTAGGCTTAATGACCTTTACCTTAGATAAACTCTTCTAAAACTGTGAATCTATTTATTTTGTTATGAAAAATTACTAAATTTGGTAAAAATCAATCCCTGTAGTTTTCAAAATTTCACTTGATCAACACCAGGCTCAAAAAAACAGATAATAAATTTTAGAATATAATATTATAAAACCAATCGTAACTTAACAACTCAACCTTCTTGGTTAAACGTATTAGTTATCTCGCACGAAGAAACATATAAATTTAAGGTCTGCAAATAAATTAAGTGTACTGGAACACGACCTAGGTGAGTGTCACGTAGCCGTCCACTCAAATTGCTTTAAGACTTTACCAATGGCCAGTGATGAACAGGTCAGAAATTAATTGAGTAAAAATCTGCTTTAGTTACTCTTAAAACAAATGAAATAGACACAGTTAAAGAAATAGGCCTAACACGTTTGCTTTCCGAACTAAAAACATTATTAAAAGTAAAACTTCACGGTCAACATATTATGGCTTCATACACTACAATAAATACCACTGCTCATTTAAATAAAATTGTATTACTATCGTTAAGCCTCTAAGGCCTAAAAAACACACATAAAATGTATTTTCCAACTAAGCCTAGCAACTTTGTCTTGGAGCTACTATTTTATTAAAATAAGAGATACACAGTACGTCAACATGCCAATAAGTTTGAGCATCAGGAAGATTACTGTGTTCCTAATTAAGGTCAAGATTGTTTTAAAACATCTATGGTATGAATATTAAATCAACACAGTTGTCCAGCTGGTCTAAAATAACTTACTTTTGACTAAGTTTAACAAATCACCTTTCCAGCTACTTATTTTAATATTAAACTAACACTGTTTTCTAGTTAGATTTAAGCAGCTTACAATCGACGTAGTTTTAGTTATGCCTAACAAATCACATTTACAGTTAGTTATTTTGTTGACATTAAACCAAAACTGTTGTAGCTTTTAATAAAATAGACGTAGTTTTAGTTAGGCCTAACAAATCACATTTACCAGTTAGTTATTTTGTTGACATTAAACCAAAACTGTTGTAGCTTTTAATAAAATAGACGTAGTTTTAGTTAGGCCTAACAAATCACATTTCCAGTTAGTTATTTTGTTGACATCAAACCAAAACTGTTGTAGCTTTTAATAAAACAGACGTAGTTTTAGTTAGGCCTAACAAATGGACTTTACAACAACTATCTATTAATATTGGTCCTTCAGTAATCTATTTAGGTATGCATATGATGTTAATATCTTAATTTCTGCTAAACTTTTGTAACTCACTGCTAAGAATTCACAGCTGCGTTTCACAAGACGCTCCTCAGGGAAATGTAACTTATTGAGCTGTTTTTTTGTTTTTTTATAAACGCCGGAATAGAAAAGATTTTCCTCACTTTCCTTGACATTTAGAAAGCAAAACCTCGGTATTTATTTTGACTGTTGCTACACGCATTCATTTATCGAACAGAATTTATTGACAAGCGGCGTGCAGTATTAATATGGAGAAATAACTTGGCAGCATCACTGTTCAGAACATGGAGATTGGGGGGAGGGGGAGAAGTAATAAAATTCTGACTTAATTATTGTGAATGTATTGTATATACTATATCCCACAGAAAAAAAGCGTAGGCTAACTGCCCCCCCCCTCCCATAATCCCGCCTACGATTCAGAATTTTGTTAGAATCTTGACAATATGTATTTTTGCTATAATTCTGCTGACTTGCACCAATCTCCTTGTGATCAGTATTCACTAGAACATTCGCCTCAAGTTGAATAAAACAAAACTTGAGATTCTTTTTTGTTCGCATTTACTAATGTAAAAAAGGAACACCATATACGAGTCGTCAGCAAACAAGTCTACGATTCTAGTGTTTGAGTTTCAGTGGATGTTGAACGCGTGTACAGAGTCTATTCTAAGCCTTTTTGTAACTGCACGAAGTGTATTGTAGGAGTACCTAGTTAAAGCGACTGCTACTCCACACCCTTAGTTGATATATTTAGATGTACTACGTTCCATTTCACTGACATTATAAAATGAACACCCTACTATTACATACGTAAAACTTTAACAAACGTAGGGACGCTGTTTGCACGTTCTAATTCGGTTGACTAAAGCAGTTCATATGCTGAGAAAGTTCGTAACTAGACGATACAGCTAGCAGCAACGGCAGATTTAAGTTACGAATAGGAAACAATTCGAAAGAAAAAACAAACAAATTCGAGTTTAAACACTATTACCCAAAACTTGCTGCCCAAATTAGAATAGGCTTTTTTTTGGTTTTTATTAAGCAATGGGCTATCTACGTCTTGCTCGCCATGGGTATCGAAGCCCGAATTTTAGCGCTGATCCACTGTAGGGCTACAATACGTAAATACACATGTAAGTGACAAAAGAAACTACGATCGACTAGGCCTAATTACAAATAAATAAATCTTTCGCATTTCGAGCGTTAGATCTTTTTTTTTTATTTGACATTTTCCTTATCCAATGTACACAAAATGAAATTATTTCTTTTTTAATCTCAGTAATCTCAATCTTATTATCGTCATTTGTCATGTGATGTATTTTTTTTTTTAACTTTCCTTCACTTTTCGTCTTTGTTTTTTACTTATCCAATCTTAACCGTTACTTTCGGAGCACGTGGTTTGTTCTAGGTGTCATGTTGATTGGTAGTGTTAGCGTTGACCTCAATACAGCCTACTATATTCTTCTTTACAAAAACGCTAAAATTCTGTACAATTATTGTGTACTTTCTTTACAAAAATTCTGTACAATTATTGTGTACTTTCTTTACAATAATTCTGTATTTCCATTACAAAAACTCTAAAATTCTGTACAATTACTGTGTACTTTCTTTACAAAAATTCTGTAATTCCATTACAAAAACTCTAAAATTCTGTACAATTATTGTGTACTTTCTTTACAATAATTCTGTATTTCCATTACAAAAACTCTAAAATTCTCTACTTCCATTACAAAAACACTAAAATTCTGTCTTTCGTTACAAAAACTCTAAAATTCTGTACTACCATTACAAAAACTCTAAAATTCTGTACTTCCATTACAAAAACACTAAAATTCTGTCTTTCGTTACAAAAACACTAAAATTCTTACAGAATTTTAGTGTTTTTGTAATGGAAGTACCTTCCGATTACAAAAACACTAAAATTCCTTACAATTGTTTATTTTGTTCAAACGCACAATTTCATAGTGGGAAATTTTTGTGTGAAGTGATCGAGCGCCGAATCTTAGCGTTATAAGCCCTTAAGCTTGTCGCTGAGTCACTGGGGAATGTATAAAGAAATCAATGACAGTAACATGATGTATAAGTTTGGTTTAAACAGAATGTTTAGTCTCCTGATTTTTATAACTTATAATAACAACCATAATCTGGTATGTAAAGAGGGATAGAACATTATAGATTTTGTATGTACAAATATCGGACATAGAAACCTGATTTTTTAGCGTTATTAGCCCATTGATTTGCCGCTGAGCCACCAGGAAGCAGTGGCGACGGACTAGTTTCTATATTTTGTTTTTACGAGTTTTTACAAAATTATCTAAAGAAAAGCTTCTAGTTTGAATGCTTTTTGTTGTTGTTTTTTTTTTCAGGTAAAAAATAAGATAGATCCCGCCAAAATAATAATTGTGATTTTTTCATCTCTATTTTCTCAGTCAAACCCTTTTCTTTGGAGGTAGAAGGACCACAAGATCCTGTGCTTGCAGGGACTACAGTTCAGCTTCTGTGTACTGTAGAGGGCGCTAAGCCCGCAGCGAAAGTCACTTGGTATAACCAGTCGAAAGTAGTGGAACCTCAACCTAAGTCATACTCTGAATTAACGAACGACGGTACTTTTAAAACAGTCAGTGTGCTTGAGATCATTGTTTCTCACTTTGATCACCAGGGGACGTTTTATTGTAAAGGCACCAATCCAGTGTTAGAGAAGAACAGAGAAGTGCCATTATTGAAGTCAGTTGACTTGCAGATCTTGTGTGAGTATACGACATTGTGTTGTTTGTTTTTATAGATTAATTTGAATCAGCATGGTAGTTTTACCAAGTAGTGCTTTGTGTAGTTTTGTTTATAGTAGTTGATCGTTGAAAACACAAACTAAGTTATAAGTTGGTGAGAACTGGTAGTTGTAGATTGAAATTTCACGAGTTTGTTGTCACACAGAAACGCTCATGCCTTTTGAACAATGTGCTAGAATTAGGTTTTGGTTTTGATGAAAGTTGGGACGTGACAAAAAAATTGATAGATATTTTGACAATAATTTACTTTGAACGATTTAGATCAACCGATTACGATGGTTCAACCAACTGAAGGTTTAGTCATCAACGAGACCGACGAGGCACAGTTATTCTGTTCTTTCAAGGCCAATCCATCCAATCTCACTGATGTTATTTGGTACAAAGATGGTGTTGAACTGGTTGGTGACGAAAACCAAACATTTGAATTTTCAGTTTCGGGAGTTCCTACCCTCACTATTCGAAACGTGTCCCGAAACGATCAAGGACATTATTCCTGTAGTCTGACAAATAGTATTGGAGTAGGGAATGCGAGCAACACAGTCGAAATGAACATTCTCTGTAAGTATAAAACGAGTTCACCTCATTACTATATAATAAACCAGTAACGTTGTTTATTAAAATTGGTTTTTAGGCTTCATACATGCTTTTAGGGTTTTTTTTGTGTGTAAAACTATATATTAAACTAACTTATCAAATAAATTAAATTAATTACGAACGATTTCTTTATAAAGAGAAGATAACCAGTACGTCAAATATACAATTACTTTGTTACCCTCTCTAAAAACCTTTCAGAGTTTTGAAGTTTGGGTAAAATATATTATAATACCGTTCAGTTTTCTAAATTTTAAGCTTTCAAAGTTGTAATAAAAAATTAAAGTTTATTTTTTGTTTGTTTACACTTTAGGTTCCAGTTTCTGTTAGTCCAACCTACACAAAATAACAAACAAAATGACATCATTGCGCATGCTCTGTGACTACGTAATCTAGATCAGCTTGACTAATGACGTCATCCTATTTGGTTCAATAAAAATCGCTTTATTGCTACCTAATTAAAAACATTCAAATTTTATTAGTTATTAAAACAAGTGGACAGGTGGTTAGAATGCTCGACTCGCAATTTGCGTGTTGCAAACTCGAATCCCTTCTGTGAACATCTTCGCCCTTTCAGCCGTGGAGGCGTTATAATGTGAAGGGCATTCTAATTATTGTTTGCTAAAAGAGTAGCCCAAGAGTAGACTTTCATTGCTAAATTAGGGATGGCTAGCGCAGATAGCCGTCGTGTAGCTTTGCGCGAAATTCAAAACAAACCAAACAAAACGCTTTTCAATAGTTGGGAGGGGGGGTCTTCTCCTTCAGTTGTCGCAAGGGGAGTCATAAAAATGTTAACTATATTAGAAACGATCCAGAAGTTTGAGCGCTTTCTAAGAAGGGAGGTGGGAGGGGGGCTTCTCCTTCACCTGTAATAGGGTGTTCCTAGAAAGGAACACCCTATTACAGCTGAAGGAGAAGACCCCTGAATCCTTCTAGGAACATCCTATTACAGCTGTAGGAGAAGACCCCTGAATCCAGAAGGATTCAGGGGTCTTCTCCTTCAGCTGTAATAGGGTGTTCCTAGAAGGATTCAGGGGTCTTCTCCTACAGCTGTAATAGGGTGTTCCTAGAAGGATTCGGGGGTCTTCTCCTACAGCTGTAATAGGGTGTTCCTAGAAGGATTCGGGGGTCTTCTCCTACAGCTGTAATAGGGTGTTCCTAGAAGGATTCATCTTTCGAAAAAGTTCGAGTTTCAGGGTCACTTTCAATATCATGTTATTAAACATTTCTTGTCTTTCAATATCATGTTACTAAACATTCCTTGTCTTTCAATATCATGTTATTAAACATTCCTTGTCTTTCAATATCATGTTACTAAACATTCCTTGTCTTTCAATATCATGTTACTAAACATTCATTGTCTTTCAATATCATGTTACTAAACATTTCTTGTCTTTCAATATCATGTTATTAAACATTCCTTGTCTTTCAGTATCATGTTACTAAACATTTCTTGTCTTTCAATATCATGTTATTAAACATTCCTTGTCTTTCAATATCATGTTACTAAACATTTCTTGTCTTTCAATATCATGTTATTAAACATTCCTTGTCTTTCAATATCATGTTACTAAACATTTCTTGTCTTTCAATATCATGTTATTAAACATTCATTGTCTTTCAATATCATGTTACTAAACATTTCTTGTCTTTCAATATCATGTTATTAAACATTCCTTGTCTTTCAATATCATGTTATTAAACATTCCTTGTCTTTCAATATCATGTTATTAAACATTCCTTGTCTTTCAATATCATGTTACTAAACATTTCTTGTCTTTCAATATCATGTTACTAAACATTTCTTGTCTTTCAATATCATGTTATTAAACATTTCTTGTCTTTCAATATCATGTTATTAAACATTCCTTGTCTTTCAATATCATGTTACTAAACATTTCTTGTCTTTCAATATCATGTTATTAAACATTTCTTGTCTTTCAATATCATGTTATTAAACATTTCTTGTCTTTCAATATCATGTTATTAAACATTCCTAGTCTTTCAATATCATGTTACTAAACATTCCTTGTCTTTCAATATCATGTTACTAAACATTCCTTGTCTTTCAATATCATGTTACTAAACATTCCTAGTCTTTCAATATCATGTTATTAA